GCTTACTTTTACATTTCTCTCATGATTTCTAGTCCTGCTGATCCAATCTGAGATTTTTGATGATGATAATTTTTAAGAAATTACTTTTGCATTTTCATTCTTTTTAAAGAATTTATTGACATTATCATTTCCTTTTTATTATCTGCTTAGCACTATATAGACTTCACTCTCATACTGCTCACTTTTATAGAGACATCTCTTTCCCCTTCTTGTATTTTTAAAGTTTATTCATATTTCTATATATCATCAAGGGATCTTTTGGAAAAGATTTGCAGGTGACTTAGTCTCTGACCCTGTAACATAATGTTTACCTCTAACTATCACCTTGTAAAATGTCATCTTGTGAAATTATTTATTTCTTTGGAGATAATCTATTATTTCTGCTATAGATGTTCAAAAAACATTTTGCTTACATCTAAAATATAGATCCCTATGATGTGTTTATATATGTGAATTTATGTTATATATTTGTGTAACATAAATGTTTTCTATTTATTTGTTAAATATAATGTATACTTAAATATTTAAATATTTCCTAGAAAATATTTAGTGTTTTGCCTCTGCTGTTCGATTTCCTCTCCTGACCTTCAGTGGCTCTGCTCCATTGGATTTGTGGGCTCACCTCAAGTCTTTTCTATTATTTCAGTCACCATTGCATTAGTTCTGTTCCTTCTTGTCTCTCCTTCTGTACTTTCTATTATGTAGCCTCTGTGATTCCATTTTTCCTCCTAGATTTTTCCTTCTTTTCTTTTATTTTTCTCTCTGTCTCGAGGGGAAAAGTTGCCATGTATGCAGTAGACGGGGAGAAATAAAGCATGTCCACATGCTTCTGTCCTTTTCAATACTTTATTCACTCAAATCACTCAGTACAATTTCACTCTCTAGGTTCTTAATCAAGAAAAAGATGATCCTTAATGCTAGGCACTACAATAGACATATAATCAATTCACAGCAAATAATTCTAGATTAATTCTAAGCATGGTAAACACACTTGGTCATGACAGGCTAATGACAGACATTCCCTCTGCATGCAAAGTTCAAAAGTCTCAAGCCTTAGGCTTTAAGTCCAGCAGCTGCACACTCACTCAGACCACAGCGATCAGGTCAGGAAACAAGGCAGGCTTCTCCTGGGATAGAGCTGATGGCCGGGCGAGGAGAGGGTCGTAGGGAGAAGTTGCCACTCTCACCAGGGTCAAGATGTGGCCGTAGAGATTGAGAGCAGTGAGGATCATACAGAGGATCAAACAAATGATGACACGTGATGGGACCTCAGTCGGAGTCCTCTTCAGGTTCTCCAGCTGAAGTGCATCCTTGTTTCAACTGGCAGAATCCCTGTTCATTAGCTTTGTTATTTATACTAAATTTTGGGACTTTTTGACCCCCCCCCCTTTCAATCCTTATCAGTTACCACCGGATTTCTCAGTGACATCATTCAATCTGGGGGTTAAAACATCTGGTCTGGTGGTCTCCACCCTGATCTTCTTGCCTTTCCCTCTTATCAGGAGAGGAAAGCCTGCCAGAGGCTTCACTCTGTTTATCAGGGAAAGTGACTTGTTAATGTCAGAGGGCTATACTGGAGGGCTCTGTTAGGCATGCCTGGTGAGACTGCAGGTTTCAAACTAAAGTTTTTACAATGAAGTTGGTTAGGCTCAGGCCTAAGGCCATCCTCACACTCTCCCATCATTTTTTTTTTTAATTCATGTGACTAGAAGGTCCAGAAGTTTATTCTGGTTTCCTTCTTTCTTTTTTTTATTAAATTCATGACAATAGTGGAATGCATTACACTCATATTACCCATATACAGCACAATTTTTCGTAACTCTGTATATAAAGTATGTTCACGCCAAATTATGCCATTATACATGTACTCTTTTTTTTTAATGGGAGGAAGATTATTTCTAGATAGGGAAGAGGGGTGTGAGGGAAAGGGAGGGGTAAGGGGATTAGCAAAGATGGTGGAATGTGATGGTCATCATTATACAAAATACATGTATGAAGATTTGAATTTGGTGTCAACATACCTTATATATACAGAGATATGAAAAATTGTGGTATATATGTGTATTAAGAATTGTAATGCAAAAAAAAAAGTACATCTCCCATCACTTTGAGGTCACTATTGTTCTCTGAGCAATAAGGGTGCATCCCTTAAGCTTGTTCTATTCTCTTCCACAGTACCTGTCTTGTGAGATGTATTTCCACTGGGGTCTTCAGTTTGGTGGTTAGAATTGCCATCTCTCCAATTTCCCCAAAACCCATTTTTATTTACTCCTTTTTCTAAGTGCTTAAGATAACAATATCATGATTACAGTGCTTTTTGAAATTCTTAACATGAATTTCTAAACTTTCATTGTTATCTTGCAGTAATTGTTCCCATTGATTTCTCTCTCTGAACTATGGTGTCTTTTCATAGCTCCAGGAATTTTTATGCTTGCTCATCATTTTTTATTGGTTTTATTTTTTAAATACATGACAGTGGAATGCATCACAATTCTTATTACATATATAGAACAATTTTTTATACCTCTGTTTGAATATAAGTATGTTCACACCTATTCATGTCTTCATACATGTACTTTGGATAAAGATGTCCATCACATTCCACCATCCTTGCTAATCTCCTGCCCCCATCCTTTCCCTCCCACCCCTCTGCCCTATCTAGAATTCAACTAATCCTCCCATGCTCTCCCTCCCTACCCCACTATGAGTCAGCCTCCTTATATCAGAAAACATTCGGCATTTGTTTTTTGGGGGGACTGGCTAACTTCACTTAGCATTATCTTCTCCAATGCCATCCATTTACCTGCAAATGCCATGATTTTATTCTCTTTTAATGCTGAGTAAAATTCCATTGCGTATATATGCCACATATTTTTATCCATTTATCCACTGAAGGGCAACTAGGTTGGCTCCACAGTTTAGCTATTGTAAATTGTGCTGCTATAAACATTGATGTGGCTGTGTCCCTGTAGTATGCTGATTTTAAGTCCTTTGAGTATAGTCTGAGGAGAGGGATAGCTGAGTCAAATGGTGGTTCCATTTCCAGATTTCCAAGGAATCTCCATACTGCTTTCCAAAATGGCTGCACCAATTTGTAGTCCCACCAGCAATGTATGAGTGTGCCTTTTCCCCCACATCCTCTCGAGTACTTATTGTTGTTTGTGTGCATAATAACTGCCATTCTGACTGGAGTGAGATGGTATCTTAGAGTGGTTTTAATTTGCATTTCTCTAATTGCTAGTGATAATGAACATTTTTCATATATTTGTTGATTGATTGAATATCCCCTTCTGAGAAGTGTCTGTTCATGTCCTTGGCCCATTTATTGATTGAGTTATTTGGGTGTTTTTGGTGTTTAGCTTTTTGCGTTCTTTATATACCCTAGAGATTAGTGCTCTATCTGATGTGTGAGGGATAAAAATTTGCTCCCAGGATGTAGGCTCTCTATTCACCTCACAGATTATTTCTTTTGCTGAGAAGAAACTTTTTAGTTTGAATCCATCCCATTTATTGATTCTTGGTTTTAATTCTTGCACTATAGGAGTCTTATTAAGGATGTTGGGGCCTAATCCCACATGATGGAGATTGGGGCCTACTTTTTCTTCTACTTTTTTTTTTCCTATACACAGGGTCTCTGGCTGTATTCCTAAGTCCTTGATCCATTTTGAGTTAAGTTTTGTGCAAGGAGTTTAATTTCATTTTGTTGCATATGGATTTCTAGTTTTCCCAGCACCATTTGTTGAAGAGGCTGTCTTTTGTCCAATGCATGTTTTTGGTACCTTTGTCTACTACAAGATAATTGTAATTTTGTGAGTTAGTCTCTGTGTCCTCTATTCTGTACCATTGGTCTGCCAGTCTGTTTTGGTGCCAATACCATGCTGTTTTTGTTACTATTGCTCTGTAGTACAGTTTAAGGTCTGGTATAGTGATACCACCTGCTTCACTCTTCTTGCTAAGGATTGCTTTAGCTATTCTGGGTCTCTTATTTTTCCAGATGAATTTCATGATTGCTTTTTCTATTCCTATGAGGAATGCCATTGGGATTTTGATCGGAATTGCATTAAATCTGTATAGTGCTTTTGGTAGTATGGTCATTTTGATAATATTAATTCTGCCTATCCAAGAGCAAGGTCGTAAAGGCTATCTACACTAAGCCCCAGGCCAACATCATTCTAAATGGAGAAAAATTGAAGGCATTCCCTCTAAAAACTGGAACAAGATGGGGATGCCATCTTTCACCACTTCTATTTAACATAGTTCTTGAAACATTGGCCAGAGAAACTAGACAGATGAAAGAAATTAAAGGGATACATATAGGAAAAGAAGAACTTAAATTAGCACTATTTGCTGACAATATGATTCTATACCTAGAAGACCCAAAAAGCTCCACCAGAAAACTTCTAAAACTAGTAAACAAAGTCAGCAAAGTAGCTGGATATAAAATCAACACCTTATAAATCAAAAGCATTTCTGTATATCAGCATCAAATCCTCTGAGAAGGAAGTGAGGAAAACTATCCCATTTACAATAACCTCAAAAAAAAATAAATAAAATACTTGGGAATCAACTTAATGAAAGAGATGAAAAATCTATACAATGAAAACTACAGAACCCTAAAGAAAGAAATCAAAGAAGACCTTGCTTATCATTTTAAATGTAGAACTGGGCTTACTGATGTAATGGTTCATTTAATTTGCAGCCTAGATCCCTCAGGGTCCCTGACAAAATCCTTTACACTTTGACAAAGGGAAAAGAAATTTTACTTCATTTTAAATCCATGAGTCTAGGGAAGACAGCCACCAGTCTGTAGGGAATAGTGGACATATGGATAAAGGGAAAGGCCCCACAATATGGTTCATCCAACAGTGAGCCTCAAGAGTAGCCTGTTCTTTTCTTGTAGCATCCTGCTCTACTGGCCACCAGCATTCCTCACTAGGGAGTACTTCTGAGCAGAAGCCATGTCTGTGATCTTGTAATCAATCTTTCTTTACTTTCTGCAGGATTGCCCGGATGATCCGTCAGGAAAGAGGCAATGCCCTGCTTGTGGGAGTAGGAGGCACAGGAAAGCAGTCTCTTACAAGACTTGCAGCTCATATATGTGGTTACAAATGTTTGCAGATTGAACTTAGCCGTGGATATAACTATGATACTTTTCATGATGACCTAAGGAGGTTGTACAAATTGGCTGGTGTAGAGGACAAAAATATGGTTTTTCTTTTCACAGACACCCAGGTACATATTTAAACAGCTCACTTGTAAAATCAGGAAGTATATGAGTGTTACAATACAGCATGTACTTTGAATAGTTTGTAGGATGAAGTTCAAGGATTATTGTCTCCGAAAGCAAATTATATGCACTGTATAAAAGGCTTTTATAATATATTTTTATTTATCTTTCCAAGTTTTGTTTGTAAACTCTAAGTAATTATGATAAAAGGTTAAAGAGAAACTTTTTTGTGTTTTTTATGTTTTTCTTAGTACATTACAGTTATACATAATAGTGGGGTTGAGAAAAAGTTTTAACTATTCTTTGATGAAAAGGACAAAGATAGCAGACAGTAAGTAAAATCAGATTAACTCTAAAATTAAAATAAGATTACATTTACATCTAAAATAGCCAACCTAACTGATCTTAAATTCTATAGTAAATGCTATACTTGGGTGTTTTAACTTTAGGGAAAATAAACCTTCTAGAAAATATGATAGATTTAATGTATAAATATTTTAAACTTCTTTGTAATTTTTAAAACATTGTGACAAGGATTGAGTGCAAACACAAGATAGGGAAAATATTTTCACCATCTACATGAAATGAGTTTATATCTTAGTATAAAAATACAAGCAAAAAAGAAGAAATATAAAATAGAAGAAATATAAAAATGCAATAGAATGTGAATTAAAAGTTCCTAAAAACAAATATTCAGCCTAACCAATAACTAAAGAAATGTAAATAAATAAAATAAATAAAAATGCCATGAGCTTAGCATACTAAAGGCTCTGGATTGGATCCCTAGCACCACGAAAATAAATAAATAACACTTGCCTGACATGTGTGAGGCCCTGGGTTCAATCTCCAGCACCACAAAAACAGAAAATAAAAGTGAAAGCATTAATGTGAAAATGCTTATAATGTGTTGTTATATCACCATATAGGCTCTTCAGTTTTATATAAACAGATATGCCATGTGTGCAACTAGAAATGTCTGGATCATGGGATTATGAGTGATTTTATTTTTCTTAGTTTTGCTTATTTATAGTTTCTAATTATTCAAAAATTAAAATATTTCTTAATTTTTAGTATTGCTTTTAAAAATCAAGGAAGTTATATAAAAAGATTCTAAGTAAGATAAAGTCATATTGTCTTGCTCAACTCCAGACAAAAGCTATATTATACTCTGTTGAAAACTCCAATCTCAAATGTTCTACAGTAATGAAGAGTAGACACAGCTATAACTAAATCACATGTATACATGTGTGTATACAGGTATGTATACATATGTACATATGCAAAAGCATAAATGTGAGAAGAAATTGAGAGAAACAAATGTTTAAATAGTTTAACTTGAATTAAGTAAAATATAAATGCTTTTTAAGAAACAAAGCAATAAGGAAAAAGGAATCAGTATACTTGCTAGAATTTTAGGATTAGAATATACTTGTTAGAATTTTAGGATTCTATCCAGTTTTTAGAACCATTTTCTCTTAAAGATAAAATTAACTTATGTGAATTTTAGAATAAATGTTTGCTTTATAATTTACAGGTAGTAACTGTAAAATGAATTATAACAATCATTCTGCTTTCTTCTACAGATTGTAGTGGAGGAATTCCTAGAAGATATAAATAACATCCTGAACTCGGGTGAAGTGCCTAATCTATTTGAAAAGGATGAATTGGAGCAGGTGTTAGCAGCCACCAGGCCAAAAGCAAAAGAAGTTGGAATTTCCGAGGGGAACAGAGATGAAGTAGGACATGCCAGAATAATTCCATGGCTTTCTAAACAAAAAGTTGTCTTAAACTTTTATTTAACAATCTCTAAGTCCCCTTAACGGATCCATGAATGAAATTTCTTCAGTATAATTAGCTCTCTTTGTAATTCTGCATTTTATTTTCTATGTCTAAAGTGTGGGTTCATCAGCCTTCCAGAAAAGTGATGGAAGCAGAAAGTAAAAACCCTCCAGCCCTACAGAGATCATAGACTTGTCCAAACTGGACAGTTTCCCTTATTCTCCTTTAAGTCCAAGTTTATTTCTCACACCTGCAGTGTCCTTCCTGAGAAGGGCTGGTGGGAAGTTCTAGTACTTTTGATCCCCTTGTGTATCAGAATGTTATGCACAACTGAAATATAAATATGTTTTCTCTCACTTTCTCAGGAACAACGTAGCTACCATTCATCTCCATTTCTTCAATACTGTGATTTCATTTATCTACCCCAGTCTTTTTATTTCATCTTTTTGGCTGTTCTTTCTCCTCAAATATACCAATGAGGATAACCTAAATAACATCCAGAACCCTAGTTGAAATGAAGTCTGCAAAAGGTCATTTTTAATCTTTCCAACTGTGAGTCATTCGTTCAATCAAGAAATATCTGTTGGACAACTTCTCTAGTTGGAATGGATGTTCAACACAGTATTTCACATATCTACTGTGCTAGCATTTTTATTTAATAATGCACTAGCCTCAGATGGATTAGCCAACACTTGTTTTCATCCTTATTTTAAATTGAAAAATATCGTTGCTTTTGTCAGGTGTTTCAGTACTTTATCAGCAGAGTTCGTCAAAAACTGCACATTGTTCTCTGCATGAGCCCAGTTGGAGAGGCGTTTCGGTCCCGATGCCGGATGTTCCCATCTCTTGTGAACTGCTGCACGATTGACTGGTTTGTCCAGGTTAGTGACTCAGTAGGACAGCTCTTTAAGAAGAGATTTTAGAGAAGTAATGTGTTGAAAATAACTCACAGTACTTGAATTAACTTTAAAAGCTACTAGGAAGTTATTCATACAAGGGATAACAATGACAATCAGCCAAAGACAAAACAGAACTTATGAAGGAAGAGGAGATCTTGAGGTTAGCAGTACAGAAGTTATCAGTGATCTTGACGAGCTGTTTCAATGGATGATGGGGGAGAGGGTTTGAAAGAGAAGGGGAGAGGAATCAGAGACAGTGATAATAGGCAACAACTTCAAGAAGTTTTGTCGAAATGAAAGCAGAGAAATGATGGTGAGAGAGGGGCTTATGAGATCAAGAATGAAGTCTCTTTGAGTGAGAAATATAAGCAGCATGTGTGTGTGATGAAGGTGAAAATGTTCTAGAAAAACAGAAATATATTGATGATGTAGTATACAACACTAAATGTGTGGATCCAATATCCTTTAGTAAATAACTGAATCCATCAATTAAGAGGCTGACTTGGGCAGAAGGCATAAACAGCTTCCCCTGAGTATTAGGATAAGGGGTACAGACCCAGGTGGCAGAAGACACAGGGGTAAGGGCTCACTGAATTTGTTTGCCTTATTTCTTTTTCTTTTTTTGATGAGGGAAAACAAAGTCATAAATTGAGGATAAAGAAGAAAAAGGAAGTGAGCAGTCTAAGGAAGTTAAGTAGGATATGGAATACTTAAGAGAGTACAAAACCAAAGTGTTAGAAAATGTGGAAGAAATTTTGGGCTGCATTAAGGAGTTAGTTGTAAATTTTAAGTGCGGCACATCAAACATGACTGTGTTTTGTTTTGTTTCCTTTTGTTTTGTTTTCTTTTGTTTTGCTTTGTAGTCAGCTACACCTGCTCAGTTTCAGGCATGGAATAACAGAGAGTTGGGTTTTACTAGGGTTCAGGCAAGCTCAAGAATTAAGAAAAAAGCAAAGAAGTTAAGATGTGTGCAGGATCATGACTACAATGATGGTCCTGACATCACAACTGTATAATAGAGTGAGGTAAGGAGGTCCTCATAACAGATGATTCTGTTTATGGAATTCTAAAACTACACAGTCATTCATTCATTCAAGAAATATCTGTTGACAACTTCTCTATGTCTGGCACTGTCCTAGGAACATACTGGTCAGCAAATGCAAATTTGGGCCCCCCTCTAATGAACAGAGAGAGCCATTTCAGTTTATTAAGCACCAGAAACATGTATAAGAGATAACTTGGTGAAAGAAGGGACTAGACAAGGAAAAATTCCAGAGAAATTGTTTTCTCACTTGTTACTCTGCATGTTGTTGAAATGCCATCAGATTTTCCAGATTGCTTCTTTATTTACAGTGGCCCAGAGAAGCGCTTCTTTCTGTGTCAAAGACATTTTTCTCAACTGTTGACACTGGAAATGACGAACTGAAAGAAAAGCTTTCCCTCATGTGTGTCAATGTTCACTTGAGTGTCTCCCAAACAGCAGACCGCTATTACACTGAGCTCCGCCGGCGATACTACACGACGCCCACTTCCTACCTGGAGCTCATCAATCTCTACCTGACTATGTTGACTGAGAAAAAGAAGCAGTTAATTTCAGTATGTTTCAGTCCATTAATTTTGTGGGGGTTTTTTTGCTCAAACTGAAAACTTTGGGAGTGAGTGGATGATCTGTGTACCTGTGTAGTGCCCTTTTCATCCAGTCCTGTGACCTTGACAACCTGAAATGTGGCCAAAAAAGGGTCCTGTGCTCTCAGTCCAAGGGCTCCCTATTCCTGGATATTTATATTTTCCTTCTATCATTTACATAAGTATCCTTGACTCAATAGAATGACAGGGACATAGTAATAGCATTAAAGTTAAGCAGAGATATGGTCATCTCTGCAGTATTTAATATGGAGGGAAACTTTGTTTTAAGCAATCAAGATAAGGTTTTAATTGTCTAACATGTGCCAAGGACTTGAGTGTCTGCCAAACTACATGTAACTTTTGCTGTTGAGCATGTTATACAATTTCTTTAAGGTTTTAGTAGGAAATAAGTTTTAAAATATCTAAATATCCCTCTTGAATTTCTCTGGAATTTAAATAAGATATTGTTCATGACGTTCTTAGACTATGATCAAAGATATATGAGGTGCACAAAAAATAGTGGCTGACATTAGCAACATCATCTGACCATTAACATGGTCTAAAATATTCAATGTTTAAACACAGTAAAAATGGAAGCATTTCCCAATAAATATTTAAAGTGTTTTTCAAATGATTTTTACATCATAAAATAAATGCATGCTCTTGTAAAATAACTTGACAGGTATTTTTGAAAACTGTCTATTTGAACCAATCTTTCTGACTCATTTTCAAAAAATGGTTCTTCCCAGGTGTCTCCTCTACCACATCCTACTCTTTTGGTACAAGTCAAAATTTTTCACTCCTGGGGAATAAGATTCAGATACAGAAACTAGAGTTAGGTGTCCAGGACCTTGTTTCCTTGGGGTCTCAACCCTGCTGAGAGTAAACAAACTCCCAGGCCTCTGGGGATCCCTGCCTGAACTTACACCTCACTCATTCAACATGCTACCATGAGGAATGAAGATAATGCAGTGTGATCACTGCCCTCAGTGAGTCACAGTCCAGTGATGTGATGTCCCTCAGCTATAACCAGGGGACATGTATCCACACACATTGTGGAAAATGGCATGGCCATTTCCTAGAGTTCTGTTACCTGAAGACTTTGCAAATTGTAAAAATTTTACAACTTGAAGTATTACAAACTGATGTATTAATTCTGTAGCTATAAAATTAATTTATGAGTAACAGAGGCCAGTAAAACCTGTGATTTATAATGCTCATTATAATAGAAATTTTTGTTGTCATTTAGGCAAGAGATCGGGTGAAAAATGGTCTCACGAAGCTACTACAAACAAATGTACTGGTAGATAATATGAAATTAGAACTTTCAGCTCTAGAACCTGTGCTTTTGAAAAAATCACAAGATGTTGAAACCCTGATGGAAAAATTGGCAGTGGATCAAGAAAGTGCCGATCAGGTATGATATATTACCTAACAATGTAGGTGAGGCAATATATCATTTATATAGAGTGACCCATGAGCAGATTATTTTATTATATATCATTCAAATATTAGGTGTCATTTAAATAAATAGTTTTGGCAATACTATTTTTTCTAGAAATTTAGCAATGTTTTTAAGCTATAAACAATCTCTCTTTACCAAATCAGCCTAGTTCTGTCCCAGAGAATTGGTTGTAGTTCACTGAGTGGGGAAGAGAGAGTTCTGAGAAAAATACCACCAACATATATAAGGCAACTCTCCTAGAAGAAACTACTTATTATATAAAAATTTGATCTCTTTAATTCTGTCAATGTGGTACATGGTGAACATAGAACATCAAATGCAATCTAGTTAATTCCTTTTCATCTTTAATCTAATCCAAAGGGTAAATACAGCTTATTATTGACTTTGTTTTAAAGCTCTGAAATTCAACAGGGCTTGGTGGCACATGCCTGAAATCCCAGAGACTCAGGAAGGTAAGACAGAAGGATCATAATTTTGAGGACAGCCTGGGAAACTTAGGGAGATCTTGTCTCAAAACTAAGGGGAAAAAAAAGATCTAGGGATATATATCAGTGGTAAAGCACCCCTAAGTTCAATACACAGAAGCAAAATAAATAAACAAAAAATAAAATATTGGAATTCAAATGCAGATTGGATATCCTTTATCCCAAGTGGTTGGGGCCAGAAACAATTTGAATTTTGGATTTTTCCATATTTTGGTATATATTTACATATACATAATGAGATATCATGGGGATGGGACCCAAGTATAATCACAAAATTCATCTGTGTTTTATATACCCCTTATAGCACATAATTTTATTTAATCGTTTATTGTGCCTACATTTTGCTTGTGGTCTATCAGATGAGGTCAGTTGTGGAATTTTCCACTTGTGGCATCATATTGGTGCTCAAATGTTTCAGATTTTGGAACATTTCAGATTTTGGAACATTTCAGATTTTGGATTTTTTGATTAGGGATGCTCAATGTGTAATGAGACCACCTAAGCACTCACATTTCAATGGTTAGGTCCGTAACGTTGTGCGAGAAGATGAAGCAATAGCAAAAGTGAAAGCTCAAGAAACCCAAGCAATAGCTGATGATGCTCAGAGAGACCTCGAAGAAGCATTGCCTGCACTTGACGCTGCCAATAGAGCACTGGATTCCTTAGATAAAGCAGATATAGCTGAAATCAGGGTTTTTACAAAGCCCCCAGATATGGTCATGACTGTAATGGAAGCAATCTCCATTCTCTTGAATGCCAAGTGAGTAATACAAAAGCTTGAATTATTAGATTATCTGGTGGTATTTCTTTACTATTTTTCTCCGTTTTCATATTTTTATATATGTATGTTGATTCTCTTCTCTAACCTCTCATTAATTTGATTGGCCATTCAACAAATTGATTCACCAATGTTTCCAACATTTATTTTGTACTATATTATAGAAGATAAAATTATGGGTTTTTTCACTATAAGATGCAGACAATTTAATGGAGAGATACAAGCTGATCTTTTGGGAGATGATGCACACAGTTTGTGCCTGTAAAGAGAGCTCAGGCACTTATGATGCTTGTGAAATAGGGTTGAGGCTGAGTAAAAAGGCAGTGATCACATCATGAGAAATCTTGTATGCTACACCAAGCAATCCAAATTTCATCTTAAAGATGTGGTTTTCAGATTTTCTTCAGTAATACAATCCTTTTTTCAATACAAATTATGTAAAACGAGCAAAGCACCAGAAATACCCCTTAACCACCAGGCCTCCCTATAGACCCTCAGGTTGGCACAATGGTAGGTCCCAGGGATCTCTGCAGAGCAGAGATAGAGAATGCCCATGTGCAGAGGGAACTGAGAACCATTGAACATTTTTTTACTTAATCAGATTTTCACAGTATAAAGACCAATATGGCAAAAGTTCTAAAGGGCAAGGTTGACCAAGAGACCTAAGTCCCAGTTAGAAGGGCATTATTTTTGGCAGCCTACCAAGAGATTTTAAGGGTTGCAACTAGGCAAAGGAGATGAAGTGTGAATTCCACTCTATTATTTTATAATTCTTTCTCTACCAAATCTGAGTTGTATGGGGTGATGCATGGAACTACCAACTTCTGGGATTACAATACTGACATTAAAACTACCGATCTATGTTCACAGAGGAATACATCTCTTTTGTTCTTATATTACTTGATTATAATGTTGTTAATCTGTTATCTCTGTTTTTTAGGCCTGATTGGCCCACAGCAAAGCAACTTCTTGGCGAATCTAACTTTCTAAGAAGGCTTTTAGAATATGATAAGGAAAACATAAAGCCTCAAATAATAGCAAAGCTTCAAAAGTATATTAATAATCCTGATTTTCTTCCTGAAAAAGTAGAGAAAGTATCCAAAGCATGTAAATCCATGTGCATGTGGGTAAGAGCGATGGATTTGTACTTTCGAGTAGTCAAGGAAGTGGAACCAAAGAGACAAAAACTCCGTGCTGCCCAGGTATGTTATCCATATTATGATGTTTTGGAGTCTTAAAGGCCATCATCATCAATCATCCAAGCTCTCCTTATAGTGCCACTTTGATGCAAGGCAATATAGATAGTGACAACACTAGCTTTTGTTTCAAACAATAGCTGGCAGGTTTTTTTTTTTTTAAAGTTTTCTCTAAAGGTATCCTTCTTTTAGCATTAAAGAAAAATAAGTCCTTAGTATAATTCATCTGAAAAAAAGAGAAATTATGTTTATGATATTTTTGAGGTGCCTCTATCATCTGATGATCTATATTTCTATTTGCTAAATACCCCCACACCTGATGGTGTTATCTGAGATTTTAGAACCAGCTTAATTCACAATCATGTGTGAGGTCCTTAGTCTTCCCAAGAACAAAGAATGATCATTTAGAGGAGCAGATTACCAAAATAATGGTGAATAGAGAGCAGGAATAAGCAAAAATTTTCTATGAAAATCCAGATATTTGAGAATTGAATTGGAGCAAACTATGTTATATGCATTTATGAATATGTCAAAATTAATGTATTCATAAGTTATATGGTTATATATCACTATAAAGAACTAATAGGAACTTTTTTAAAAGATCAAAATAGTAAGTATTTAAATTTGTGGGCTAAATATTTCAATTTTATTGTGGACTACATGATCTCTGTTACAAGTACTCAACTCTGTTGTTGCCCAGAGAAACAGCCATTAGTAATACATAAACAATAAGTATGGCTATGTTCCAATATAACTTTATTTATGGACAACAGAATTCCAATTTTATATAATATCACATGTAAAAAATATTTTGTGTTTATTTCCAATCATTACAAAATGTAATAATCATTCATAGTTCATAGGCTGTACAAAAGCAAGCAAGCATCAATGGCGAGGTGGCCTGCAGGCCATAAGTTCACTACCCCCTGACACAGAGAACTAGTAAGGAAAAATTAGTTTTCATTATTCTAAGAATATTTATTTTATCATTTAAAATTAATATCCATTGTAGTAATTTATTCATCTCATATGCTTGGCACAGCTGTTTCTCTATTCCTTTTATGACTTATTTTGTTGGACTTTTTGTTTGGTCTAGATTGGTTCTGCTCTTGTATTTTACTCAGTAAATGTTTTAACTTTGTACAATATATCAAAATATTTACAAACATGAAAAAGGGAACATAAAAAAATCTTTATTATATAAATGGGCAAATTCAGCCTTCTTTGTGGGTCTATTTGTAAATATTTGCTTGATTTTTACTAGGCTGAACTTGATGTTACAATAGCTACCCTAAAAGAAAAGCAAGCATTACTGAGACAAGTGGAGGATCAAATACGAGCCTTACAAGATGAATATGACAAAGGTGTGAATGAAAAAGAAAGTTTGGGTAAGTAACTCATAAAATTTGCTTTGTTATAAATGTCTGATTTTTAAAAGTTTGAAAATTTTCAGGCAATCTGATATTGGCTTTTATTCAACATGTAGAATACATTTGGACTTCTTTCATTAGCTTCCTAGTATAAAATGAGAAAAACTACATATATTGTATGTATTCAACATCTTATATCTGAACATAGCTTCTTGGAGTATATTGCATTAAAACTCAGAGCAACAGATAAATTTTATCTACAAAATAAATGCTACAGGCACTGAGAACACACAAATATTATAGGGCAAAGAGAAAGCCGTCTTCAGTTAGAGTAGTGTAGCATTAAAAGAGCTCTTGAAATGGAAAAATTAAACTTTGACTTGGTTCTGAAATGGGAAATAATATTGAATTGGTGTGATACTTGTTAGCAATATATTGCTATAATTAGCTAAATAAGGCTAATTATGCTACAAACAAAAGCAAGTATATAAACTTTTAATAGTTTACTAAAATATTGAATAATCTAAGGTTCTTAATATTTTCTAGCAAAGAATATGGCCCTGACAAAAGCACGCCTGTTACGTGCTGGAAAGCTGACAGCTGCATTAGGAGATGAACAGGTTCGATGGGAAGAAAGCATAGAGAAATTTCAGGAGGAGATATCGAACATCATTGGGAACGTGTTTATAGCAGCGGCTTGTGTGGCTTATTATGGGGCTTTCACAGCCCAATTCAGGCAATCAGTGAGTAAACCTCCTGTCTGTAAAGAGTGGTGAGAAGCATCTAAAACTGGGTGGGTACAGAGAAGCATTCATTTTTCTGAGGTCAGATGGAGGTTCTCTACTATGGAGTTCACCAGAGTGGAAATGTACATGTCCCACAGGATGGATCTCTCTTTCCCATTGGTCCACCCTTAGGCTTTCTTAACATGTTTCTTCCTTTCCTTCTGCAGTCTTAGAAAGTTCTTTATCACTTATGCAGTGTAAGAACCTGGGGGAAGTGAATGAGACAGTAAGTCCCTAAACTTTTTTGTCAGAACTAGCATGTAAAATCAACCAGGATACAATGTCCTGCTCCGGAGGACTGGGAAATGGTGGGGAGCAGGATTAATTTGAGGTTTCTTGGGCTTTCATCTTTATGAAAAACTTATTATTTATCAGGGAATAAAATTCCCATCTATATGCACTTTTCAGGAAAAAAATATTGGGAAGGATTTTATAATTATTTTTATGAAATACTTCCAGTTGCACCCACAATCATTATGACAACCCTGAACTTCTCCACATGCGTCCATATTTTCTAAAGAGACGCAATACAACCCTGGTTGAAAATTACTGTAACAACCCAGGCTTTTACATGTGAGAAAACTGAGGTCCAAATAGAGGAAGTAAAATACCAAGGGCATAGTTAATTGTTTAGTTCTAGCACCAGATCTCCTGATTTTTAGTCCATTTTGGGGGGAGGAGAGTGCCCCATCCTGTTTCCAAGATGTCTGTGGAGACTGGTAGGGCCTACCTGTTCCAGCCACTGCATGTTAGACAGCTTTTCATCACTGTAACCAAAGTATCCATGAAAGAACACCTTAGAGGAGAAAAGTTTATTTTGGACTCAGTTTCAGAGGTTTAGTTCTTGATCAGCCAGCTCCATTGCTCTGTGTCTAAGGTGAGGCAAAACATTATGGCAGAAAGGCATGGTGGAGGAAAGTTGCTCAGTTCATGGCAGCTGGGAAGAAGAGAGAGAACATAGGGAGCCAGGGACAGAATACAATCCCTAAGGCTCACCCCCAGATGACCCTATTTCCTCCACCCATGCCTCATTTGCCTACAAGTACCACCTAATAATCCATTAAAATTATTAAGAGATCAAATAGATCCACTGATTAGGTTACAGTTCTTGTAATCTAATCATTTCACCTCTAAACATTGCTAAAATAGATACCATATTTCCAGTACATGAGTTACTGGGGGGCCACTTCATATCCAAATCATAACATATTGGTTTCCTCTGCCCTTCATATTTTGTGTGTGTCATAGTTTACTTAGTATTCCCGATTATACATGTAAATTTTCCTCCCTTTTCAGCTTATAGAGTGTTGGATCCAGGACTGCCAGTCTCTGGACATCCCAATTGATCCTTCCTTCAGTCTCATTAACATACTTGGAGATCCCTATGAAATAAGGCAATGGAACGCTGATGGGCTGCCAAGAGACATGATATCAACAGAAAATGGCATTTTGGTTACTCACGGGAGACGGTGGCCTTTGATGATTGATCCCCAAGATCAGGTATGTAACAAATGCTTGAAATTAAAAAGTAGCCAGTTAGCTCTGTTTAATATTGATCTATCTATTAAAAATTATAAAAGTAGACTTTAACATATTTATAAGATCATGGAAATTTAGACCTGAAGGAGAGTTTGGAGCTCTTTCAGTGTGGGTTCCTCATCTTATGGACATAGAAAGTAAGGGATGTGGGTAAGTGTTCTCTATTCTTGATTTTAACTGGTTAAGTTTAGGGGATTGGCCATTAGTTTTTTGTTTTCTATGGGAATAGAAATTGACAGAAACTCATTCCATGAAGGTCTGCAAGGTCTAAGGAATCAAAATGAATTCAAGGAATGATAGGATTTAGAGCAAGTCTGACCAGAATTTTTATAGTCCCATTATCTGTGTTCCTAAATCCACAGATCAGATAATACTAATCAGGGTTCAGAAAAGGGAGCCATTGTAAAAGCAAGAAAGAAACTTGAATACTAAGATAAGTATGGGCTTTTTTTCTGGATGGCTCTTTTCTGAATTTGTTTTAATTTGGGCTTGATAGGTGTTTTATTGGGGAAATGAGTTTTTTTTTCTTTTTAAAATGTTTTCAATGTTTCTAGATTGAAAACAAAAATTCTAAACTTTATTCTACAACTTTCACTTTCTAGTCATGTATCCTACTCTAAAGTAAATGCTCTGCTCTGTGCTTTCTCATACAGGCAAACCGTTGGATAAGAAACAAGGAAAACAAAAGTGGTTTAAAGATCATTAAACTTACAGATAGTAATTTCTTACGAATTCTTGAAAATTCCATCCGACTTGGCTTACCTGTCTTACTGGAAGAGGTTTGCTTTTCACATTTCTCATGTTAGTTCTAACTTTTAGATTATAGGCCACATCCACATCATGATAAAGACACCAGTCAACTTTCTTTTCAAATTGTCAAACCAGTTGCTTTGTTCCTTAAATGGTACTTTTTCTAGGAGGAAGAATCAGTTGGTTGAATGAATTTTCTGCTTCAATCATTGTTTTGAAGTTAAGAGGGATAGCCTCTGTTTTCAGACACTGCTCATTCTTAGACCTCATTGTGTACCTTAAAGGTTAGAAATATTCAAAGCAGCAGTGCCCCCAGGAACCACTGTCTACATACACAAATGATGTAAAGTCATAAGTGTAAGTGTAAACATTATTTTCTATGTGGGATACGCATCAAAATTAGATTAAGTTATGAGTGTTAAGAGTAACTATTGTTTAAAAGTGGGAATTGTTGAGTCTATATGTTCCATTTCTTCAGATACCACTCGGAGAACAGATATTTTTTCACATTGTTCACTCAATCAATAAACATTTGAGAACAAATGGCAAATAATATAGATGTGGTTTCTGTCCTCGATTACTTAGAATCTAGTTGAGGATAGGCAGAAAACAGAGAAAAAGTAGATGAGATAGAAAATAAGAGAGTGGAGGAGGAAAAGAACTTATAATAAGGGCTTTGAAGGAACAAGCAGGGTGTGGACATGGCCAGTAAGAAGAGGCATTAGGAGCCTGACTTAGATGCATAGCTACAGAGGATGAGATTTAAGGTCTAACCTCTGTGATGAGCTCAACTATGTGAGGAGCTCAGTGAGAAGGGCTTCCCAGAAAAGGGGTCAGCAAATAAAAAACCATAGGCACAAAGAGATGGCTAATGACTGTGTATTATCCTTAATTTATCATTCCATTTTTATAAGAGGAGAATTAGTAAGCAAACACATGGGCTGTGAGCCATTTAGCTGTACCAAAAAGTATCTCAGAAAATTCAGGAAAGAGCACTACCTGGGGCAACTTGGCTGCAACCTTTGCATGGTGACTAGTAATAATAATATGTAATCACCCACTAACTAATTCACTATTTCACTAATTAACATGTGCACTACTTTCCAGACTTGGTTCTCAAGTGTTTTAACTTACTAATCCTCCCTGCAAACTTATGAAGTAGTTGCTATTATTATCCCATGTTACCAGTGGGGACACTGAGACATTAAAAAGGTCAAACTGAGCTGCCTTGCCACCTAAAAAATTCATAGCACGTTACAATACTCCCCACTCAAGCCATAAATAGCACAAGGGCCTTGTTGTAGCCAAGCTTTGGCATTTAGCAACACAGAAAACGTTTTGTAATGGATTCCAGATCCTCCTTCAAACTCAGAAGTCACAGAAGAGAGTGAGGTGTCTGACAAACTTTGGCACAGTTACCTTAGTCCCAAGCTGAATTCTGGAACCCAGGTTTAGTTTGTGACTCAAGAGGTCTTGAGGGACTTTTCTCACTCATGGCAGTGGACAGAAGGTCCTTCTATAATGTTCTGCCCCTAGAAAGGAGAGTATTTTAACTACAAATATAATGAACACTCTAAGGAGTTAGGCCCCTTCAGGAACAGGACACTCTAACTGGACCTTCCCTCTCTCTGGGTCTTGGGGTCATTAGCATTTTACATCTAGCTGATTTCTACATTTGTTAGGGTGGTGTTTGCAAACTTGGTCTCCATCCATTCACGGGTATGAAAGAAAGTTTCTCTCGATCACCAGTTATTAATAAAATATAACAGAATATTTATAACAAAATTTTATCATGGATAAGAATAAGTAAGAGTTAATGTGTGTAGTACAATGTCACAATGTGAAATGATTTGTTACAATGGATTATGAGAAGGAGGCCAAACCTCACTAAGGGGTCCTTCTTTTTGCTTGTGGAGGTTGTAAGCTATTGAAGAAAAATTAAAGACTAGAATAATTAGTGAGTAACAAAAGACACAATCAGAAAAAATAGTTTTAAAGGAAGTTTGGAGCGCCTGATAGGCCCAGCCCACACAGAAGCTGGAGCTTAACAATTAGAAAATGACCCCTGTGGTTTATTTAAGGGGATACATCAAAGGCAGAGATAAGGTTTCAGGTTTTAGGAATGGAGTCTTGCTTCATGATGTCTTGAAATCAACAGGTTGATTGGCATCTTGTTAGGTCATACCCATCTCAGGGAGGTTGTGTGGCTGGTTGGCTGTAGTAGGTCACCCCATTTCTAGTGCTGTGTGGGACCTTTGGCAGAGCTGGGTGAGAGTTCATGTGTATTTGGGCCATCTTGTAGCATCTTATAGCCACTGTAAGTTCTCAGATAGCAGACTTTCCCACTCAATAGCCTTCCATGCCAATCTGGTCCACACATAGTCCACAGATGGCTCTTGACAATGAATTATAGTCAAATTTTGAAAACCATAGGACCCCACCTGGTATAAAAGTGACCCTGTAGGTCCATGGGCAATTCTTGCATGCCTTAGTTCTAACCAACCATCATATTTGCTTTGAGGGATAAACAATATTGTGGCTAATAAATGAATCAAAGCTTAACTTGAGAGTCTATGGCAGTATGGTGTAGGGGTGCATCATGTAGAATAAGGTTTATTCAAAGTAAACTTGAAACCTACGGAATTTTGACAAGTTGATGCCATCCATTGTAAATGCTTGCTTTTTGCATTGTTTTATTTCCATTTTGAAGCTCAAAGAAACCTTGGATCCATCTCTAGAACCTATTCTTTTGAAACAAACTTTCATCAGTGGTGGACGAGTACTCATTCGCCTTGGAGACTCAGATATTGATTATGACAGAAACTTCAGGTTCTATATGACAACCAAGATGCCAAATCCTCACTATCTGCCTGAGGTATGGACCTCTAGTCTGAAATTCTCACCCTAACTGGAATTATTATGTGCAGTGAGTCTCTAAAGTTTGGTGGGTTTCTATCTTTTGGGAGGAAAACTAATAACCCTCTTTCTTTTCTCCCTCTTCCCTCTCCATTGCCCCCCTTCCATCCATGTCTCTCCTCTGGTTTCACTTCTGAGTCCTGATTCTAACTCCAGTCACCCTTCTCCTCTCCATCTAGTTGGGAATCAAGCCCCTGCCCACTGGGTCCCAGATGCACAGCATTGTGCTTTCTCCAACTCCCTTCTGGTCGACAGCTGCTCCTCATAAACTGTGGTCACCATTCCTTCTAATCATTCTCCTCTCTCCTACAGCAAAGACTATTTATGTCCCTATTATCCCTTGTTATTTGTGGCTGATAAAGGAACCAGAGCTCAATTAAAAGTCCATGGCAGTGGCTGGCAGGGTTGGTGGGGATTCAGTGTTTAAGTGTGAAAGCCCATAGCATACACGCTCAAATAAAGTGGTGGTCTGCTTGAAAACTCTCGTAACAGGGTAGCATTAGAGAATCGTGAGCCAGATGTCCAGTGTCTGTACTTAGAGATAAATAGGGGAGGAGCAGCTTCTTGTAATCTTCCTGAAGCTTGTAGACTCTCAGGGATACTATGTGAGCCCCACTTCCATACATCCTTGAGCCACACAGCAAGCAGGAGAACCCCTATTCTAGAGCTCTAGAACCAAAGGCATTTGCAAAAGAAATGAAGGCAAGTGGGACTCCACATTTCCCCTCCCACATGTGCTCTACCTGGCCACCTTACCCCAGGTGCCCTGAGTGCTACCCAGGTATGGGCACATTTTCACATTCTTCAGGTCTTCATAAGAAAGGGCCTTTACATCAGACCCCCCCCCACATATATTCTTGAACATACCATTCCAAATAGTGTCATTTTTTTATCTTGATTATTGAATTTTCTCATAGCCTTGTGTCTTCACTAGATGTGGTCAAGTTGAATGAAACTGACACACTTCTAATGTGGAGAAGGATCATTAAAAGGCTACATCAGAGATCTCCTTGTCATCCTTGAGGAGATTAATTACACAACCACTACCAAGGCTCATGTCCCAAGTTCCATTTCAGAGCCTAGAAAAATGACCAGTGTGTTAACTTGCACTCTTTGATTTCTCATTCGTTTAACTTTTGAGAGGGAGTGCTGCACACCAGACCCAACCCATCTCAGGATCCTCAATGTAATCAACTCTGAGATGGAGATAAAGACACCTCAAATGTTTTAGATGGCTTTTTTTCTGCTGTAACCAAAAGACCTGGCAAGAAAAAATTTAGAAAAGGAAAAGTTTATTTGGGGGCTCATGGTTTGAGATGTCTCAGTCTATAGAAAGTCAACTCCATTGCTCTGGGCCCAAAGTGTGGCAGAACTTCATGGAAGAAGAGTGTGGTGGAAGAAAGCAGCTCAGGACATGATACCAGGAAGCAGAGAGAGAGTCCCACTCAACAAGGACAAAATATATATGCCAAAGGCACACCCGCCATGACCTACCTCCTCCACTCATACCCTACTGCCTATAGTTACCACCTAGTTAATCCCTACCAAGAGATTAATGCACTGATTAGTTTAAGACTCCCATAACTCAATCATTTCACCTCTGAACTTTCTTACATTATTTCACACATGAGCTTTTTGGAACACCTCATATTAAACCATAACCATGAAGGATTTATATTATATGTTAACTGCATGGCATTCAAACACTCTTATTTATTGGGTTTTGCTATTGATTTGTTCAAATGATGTAAGAATATTATGAGAGCATTAATAACAATTTTCCATTAAAACATTGAGATAAAATATGTAATGCTTGGTTTAACAAAGACAGTATAAGTTAATTACTATAATTAAATTATTTTACCTCATTTAGTCCTCACAACTCCCCTATGAATTGTTACTACTATTATATCAGTTTTTAAATATCAGGAACTAAAAGCTTAACACAGATAATGACTTGTCCAACATCAGACATTCACCCAAGTGTACAGCTAGAATTTGAACTCAAGCTGTTGATTTTAAAATTTGCTTCTAACCCTTTTCTAACTCATCTTTTCTTAAAACATCAAGTAGACTTCTGTAACTGTGAGGTTTGCGGAACAAAAATGTTACTCATACCAGTGAGGAAAATCAGAATTTTGAAAGCCATGTTATGCTTGAGTGTGTAGGGGTGTGCCTGTGTGAACAATCAGAGTTGAGACACATTCACCATTATTTATTAATAATGATAAAGCAAGCACTTCTTGTTTTACTAGTCTTGCATTTAAGCATTTTTATGTACTCCATACTTCTCTTCCAGGTGTGTATTAAAGTTACCATCATCAATTTCACTGTAACCAAATCAGGTCTGGAGGATCAGTTGTTAAGGTAAAAAAGGAGTATGGGAATTAGGGATATCATGAGTTTCCTAATGTTTTTGTTTTAGGAATTTTAACAAAGAAAAAATTTTAACATGTAAAAAGCATCACACATGACTCAATCAAAAAGATAAAAGTATATGGCCACGTTCTTCATCACAGTTGCTTGCAGTCACCAATCTTGTCAAATCTTCTCAAGATCATTCCTACGCATTGTTTAGGCAAGGCTGGCAGCCCAGCCTGCCTCTTTTTCTCACTAGGATCTCCAGTCTTGACAAGTGAATGAATTCAGTTGTTCCATTGTTTCTAGACACTCACTGCTCCAAATCTGTGAAAAAGTTAGCACTCCAAATTTACTCATTTCCCTAGTCTCTTGATATTTTCCTAAATTGTTTCTACATTTGTCTACTTCACAAAAAATAAATATCCCTTCCTCAGTATATTCTGTATGTGATTAAATTCCCATATCCCAAAAATGAGGTTATGAATTATTAATATTAATCTTTAGAATTAGCCAAGATATTCAGAAGGCAACATTTTTAAAATATTTATTAAAATAATAATGTTGATGTTTATTAAAACTAATTATATGTGTGTACATATGCTATAATATACTTACATGTATATATATATATATATATATATGTATATATATATATATATATACACACACACACACACACACACAGATATATACATATATATGGTCATACTGCACTTACCAACAAGGATACAACCTTGAGAGATATGTCATTAGGCAATTTTATTGTGAAAAAATAAAGTATAGTTGCACAAATACAGCTATAATACTAGGCAACTTAATCTTATGGGACTCTGTTATATATGTAGTTCATTGTAGACCAAACATTACAGCACACTGCATGACTGCATTTAACAAACACACACACACACACACACACACACACATGAATATGTGAATATATATTTGTGTGTGTGTGCATGTGTTCATTAACTCTAAAGGAAAATAAAATTTGGAAACATCTTCAAAACTATATATAATTTGGCTGGGCATGGTGGTACATGCCTATAATCCCAGAGACTTGGGAGGCTAAGGCAGGAGGATTGCAAGTTCAAAGCCAGCCTTAGCAATTTAGCGAGACCCTAGGCAACTCAGCGAGACCTCATCTCAAAACTTAATTTTTTTTAAGGGCTGGGGAATGTGGCTTAGTGGTTAAGTGCCTCTGGGTTCAATTCCTAGTACCAAAAAAAAAAAAAAACTGGGGCTGGGGACATAGCTCAGTTGTAGAGTGCTTGTCTAGCATACAAGGTTCCTGGTTAGATACCCAGCATTGCAAAACCCATATATACACATTCAAGTCAGGATTATTCTGTACTTGCACCTGCTATCACTAATAAGCTTAAGACTTATTTTCCTAGTTTCTTTTAGAAATTATTCTGCCAACTGATATCTTGCTTAACTTCTTGCTAATTAAAGGGTATCTCACCACATTTTATGCACGTATTCTAAAGTCATGACTGAACATTTTACATACTACTTTATTCCTTTGAATAGCTAAGCTTAGCTGTGTGGCTATACTGTCAGACTGCCTGGGACAAGGAGAACTACCCTAATGAGAAAAAAGGCAATGCTTAGATCAGTCATGGGGTACAGAGTGTCTCTGAAATTTCTCCCTGACCAACAGCATTGAAAAGGGAGGCTGACAGCCTGCATCCTGTGTGAGGATGTAGCTCAGTTTGCTAGTGGTCTGACAAGCCATCACTATTCCAGCCATTCCCTGCTCTGCTGAGCTCCCAGGCAGGCAGCACTCATTGCATTCAATTGTTCATTGGATGAAATTTCCTCCAGGATATTAACCATTTCAAACACTGCCCTTCAGTCCTTCAGGGATTAGACAAGTCCCCTTTCCAGCTTTGAGAAATTCCATTAAACTACCCAAACAGCTCACCTCTGCCTTACTTTCTATTTTCAGAAGCTGTAACTCTCCCTCAGAGACTTTCTTGGCCATCCCTTTTGATTTTTAACTTGCCTGATTTGATTTATGCTTCTCCTAAGCTGTTATCTGAGCTCACCTTTATCTTAAAAAACTCTCCCCAAATTCCTCACTTCTGAAAAATTTATTTAAACAACTGAATTTGAAGTGATAATTTCTTTTATTTTTCATATAACAATGTTAAGGTGTCTGAATTCAGCATGTACATAACATACAATGGGTTATTCTATGAGGCAATACATCATAGTGTACTAGGGTCAGCAGACTCAGGTGCAAGCTTGACTCTGCTTCTCATAACTGTATGACTTCAGGAAGTGACCCACTCCTGAAGGGGAACCACAGTGTCTAACTCCAGGAGCCTTCAAGTGGTTAAAAGAGATAATTCACATAAAACTCATAGTAGGGTGCCTGGCATGCATGATGCTTAATGAAGATAAGTTCCTACAAAACACAGATTGGGAGCAAATTATAAAAGGAAAAGTGAAAAGAGATGAAAGTTCACATGTTTATATTAGACAAGGGTAAAGCCTCTTGTTTAGATACAGTCAAGAACTGTTGATGAAGAGCTATTTGGCAAGACACCTCATGTTCAGGAACAGAAAGATTAAATAACATAAAGTTACACTCAGGACATACAGAATTCTTAAAGAAGGCTTTTAAAGAAAACATACGTGGTGTCAGACTATAAATATCATTTTGAGGCATTTTTTATTTAACAGTTTATCTTTAAGTTTATTCTCTGTCTGTGCACATATAAATATACACCTAGAGAAAATGCTTTTGGAAGGATGTGTGTCAAATAATGGTTACCTCTAAGGAAGAAATTAGGTTTGAAGATGGAGCTGATGAATAGGAACTTTTACTTTATTCATTTATTTTCTTTTTTATAAAAATGAATTCATGTATTGCTTATGAAAATAGTAATAAACATATTTTAATAATTTAAAAAATACTTTTTTCATAGAGGCATTGAGATTTCATAATTTCTTGTGTCATTATAAAAAGATCATTCCAAGAATTATTTTCACTTTGGCACAGCCAAGCATTAAAGAGAGAGATTGAATGATGAGAGAGCAGCCAACAGGCTCTCTACAGGATGAGTAGAAGTGACAGTAACTGTGATTGAGTGCATGTCTCTGAAATGTAGGATATAGAATAAGAACTGACATAGTTCTGGTGAAAAGCCACTGTATAAATCCAATGAAAGAGGGGCATTGTGTATTCAAATTCAGCTAATAGCATAAATATTTAGCTAGACAGCACTGAGAATAAGGATAATTCCAAACAGAAAAGAAAACAGACTCAACTATACGGCACTGACAAAGGCACAATTCAGTTATTCCAACCTTGGTTCTAGTGATGTAGTTCGACTTGAAAGACCCGAATTGGAACATCAGAGAGTGCAGCTTATTGTAAGGATCAACAGTGATAAAAACCAGTTAAAGTCTATTGAAGACAAGATCTTAAGAATGCTCTTCACATCTGAAGGAAATATTCTCGACAATGAAGAACTTATTGATGCACTCCAGGACTCAAAGGCAAGTGAATATATTCAGTGTGTATAGAAAATGTGTCATTTTCAAAAGTTTTAACTACAGCCTTTGAGGGTCCTGCAAGAGCTTATAAAGCAAGAATGAGACCACCTATAACCTGCTAGGGGCATGCACAAGAGTGTGCCTGGCTATCAGGCCTCCTCACAAACCAGGGAACAGTAGAGAATTTGTAGACAACTGATAATTTCTTCTCTTCTCTGTGATTTTTAGTAAAGTATATAATATTTAAAAAGTGGGAAAAGATAGACATCAAAAGGAACAAATATTCATAAATTTGTATTAGTGTCACCTTTTCCAAGAAGCCTCCCTAGTACTCATAGCTAGAATTAACCTCCTGCTCCTTGGAACTTCTGTAGGGCCTTATCCAAACCTGTATTATAGTACTTTTTGCTGTTTACCTGTGTCAGGGTTATCTAGTTTCTTGTCCTGTCTCTTCTGTTAGATGACTGATTTCATGCAGTGGGAATCTGTGACTCATCTTGATAGTCCTTTTCCAAGGGTTAAACATGATGGTTGCACACAAATGATAGTATGATAAAGTTTTACATTAAACATACAATCCTGTAGTGAATTAGTTCTCAGATTATAGGAGCACAGCCTATAAAATGATCTTATCAATTCATGAAAGACAAAATATTTTAGGGAAAAAAAATCTCCCTTTGACTTTACTAGATAAGGAACACATAGGTATGTTTTTGCCTCTTGTTGATGTCTAATATGATTAGTTGCTTTATATCCTACAATCTCTTGAGACCTTGGTGTTGAAAGAACGATAAACAAATTATTCTGGGTCTCTCATTTCCCTTCTCTTTTTATTGGTTTACTGGTCTCTATTCTCCTTTCATTCATTCTTCCTTGGGTCTTTAATTTCTGGAAAACTAATAACCCATTTATTTTTATATTTTACCAGTTTTACATGGAAACTGTTTAAATAATGAAGGCTTATGATGATAAACAGTATTCATTCCTTGTCCCCACTCCCCACACACACCCGTGGCTCCCTTCAGAGAGGTAACTACTTTCATTTTACACATTAACCTTGCCTATGCTTCTAATATACACACACCCCACCACTACCACCACCACTACCACCAACTACAATAACCTTTCTATAGCCCAGCCTCCTACTATAGTTATTCCTTGACCATAAACTAGAGTCGATATTTCTATTGCCTCAGTGTGGAGATCTGGCTGTAAGTGTTTGGGAGGCTGAACGAGGAGGTATGCATATATTTACCTAATTATTGTTTTCAGAATGGTACCCACCTCTCAACTGTGCCTGATTTCCTCCTATAAAAGGGAGGGGGACGTTTTATACCTTCTCCAGAGGGGGAATTTTTGTGTTTTTTTTTTCTGGTAGGGAAAAGACAACACCAGCTGGATGGTATGAGAGACACAACCTGGGAGCTTTTCAACCAATTTATATTTTAGGTCCTTCCCATTCCAGCAGTGCCTCTTATTAAATCCTGTGTCTTTAAGGAGAATTGTGTTTTATAAGTTGGTAAATTTCTGGCTTTCCCCTTCCTTCAGGTTAAGAATCCATTTTTCCTGGGTCTTCTAAGTCACAACACTCTTTAGTATGGTCTATAGATCCCAACATTTTATGGATATTTCCTCTCCTGTTTCGCCCATATTTGTGGGTTTGCACTGCTTTTTAAATACCTTTAGTATGATTTTATCATTGTTTCAGTAGGGAATGAAGCAGTTGCATGTGTTCTTACTGCCATTTTTTCCTATCAATACCAGGTTCTTTTATTTATTTTATTTTTAAAATTTTTTTAATTTTTTTATTTTTTTTTTATTGATTGTTCCATACATTACAGACCTCTTGATAAATCATCTTTCATACATTTGACTCCATTGAGTTTTGAACTCCCATTTCTACCCCAAATACAGATAGCAGAATCACATCTGTTACATACTCACATTTTTACATAATGGCATATTAGTGACTGT